CTTCAAGCCTTCCCTACCACCATACCCCTACGACCCCTAAACCCTAAATCCCTAAACCCTAAACCCCTAAACCCTAAACCCTGAACCCTAAACCCTAAAGCTACCCTGATCACCACCACAGACGACCGCGACAACTACTACTGACTACTGTTATCGGTGTTTGACTGTTTGACACTGTGCTGTGGGCATCTCAGGAACTGGTGGCACGGGAGGCAACATTGACCGCACGCACTCCCACAGGGTGTAGGGTTTCGGGTTTAGGGAGGGGCATATTTACTCAAACCATAAATGTACTTCCTGGTTTCGAAACCCTGATTAATTTCAACTATTTAATCCCTAAACCTAAACCCTATTTTCAACTGTATAGGTACGTAGGACGGTCCCACAGAACCCGAAATGTGCCTTAAAACTTGCCTTACACCGAAAAAGGTATTATAAAGGTTTAACTTTACGTAGGAAAAAGAGGCTTATGCAAAGTTTCATGCAAAACCTTTTATCGAGAATGAAACACACAACTTCAACTCCATGAGAGTTAACAACAAGGCCCCTCCAAACCCTGAGCTCCTAAAAATTTTCCTAAGGACCTAGACATTGCAATGTAGTACATCATTTGTCCCAAATCTGAAAGCCGAATCTTAAAAAAGGGTCCCGGAATCATTAATGAACCCCATAGAACCACCTGAGCTTTACTAGACGAACACGGAGGGTTCAAAAGAGGGTTCAGGACGTACGGCCGAGGGAAAAACATGTGCCTCAACCCCCAAAGCCACAACTTGCCTCCCGCCCTGCAAAAGCCTTCAGCTTTGTGTCTAGGGGTTTAGGGGTTTAGGGTTTCGAGACTATGAATACAGTCTGGGTTCAGGGGGAAACTGTTGTGGCAGAGTCAGTTTGAGGCCGTGCTCATGATTCCGTACTCTACAGCTTCATAAGTCCGGTAAGGGTTTCGGGGTCAGGGTTCATAAGCCCGAAGCCCTAAACCCTAAACCCTAACCCGAAACACAACAACCACTATTGGCCTTAAATGCCTTAGTTTCTGTTTCTGAAAGGCGCCGCGTTGGCGACGGAAGTCCTACGACCCACCGCTTTGGCAGCTGCTGGGCGCAGATAGGGGTTTAGGGTTTAGGGTTTCGGGGTTTAGGGTTTAGGGTTTAGGGTTTAGGGGTTTAGGGGTTTAGGGTTTAGGGCTTTTCAGGGCTTTTGAAGTGTCTGCAAGCCCCCACCCCAAACTCTGCGATCTTAAACCCCCTGAGCATATGAGAACAGGATCCTTCCATGCGGCGTTCTTTGCCACGGTGTAGGATTTTGCGGTGATATACTGAGACTCTGATGAAACACTTGTAAGACCTTCCGACGGAGAGTAAAGCTCCAACCAGAGCTGGGAGGGCAGTTGTGGAGAGCAGAACCTGGACACCCCAACTGGCCTCTATCACACTCCAAAACCCACTATCAAGGACCAGAAGGGCTCCATGAAACGTACATTCTAAACTTTAACCTTAAAGCCACAAAGCCTAAACCTTAACTTCGCCATCTTGCATGGTCCTGGATGCCAAGGTTTCTCTACGCCTTTGCAAGGATGCGGGTGCAGGACTGGGCGCCAAGTATCTATATAGGGTCATACCTTATACCGGTTGTTGGGTTTAGGGTCTAGGGTTTAGCAGCCTCAAACCCTCACACGCCCGAGGACTTAATGCACCTACTATTTTGATTTGGGGTTAGAGGCGCTTATGGTTTCTTCAAAGTCGGACTACCAAGCCCAAGTACAACACTAATACAGCCCTGCGCTCTGATAAGCGGACTGCATGCATCTCGTCAGACCCCAATCTTTTGTTCAAAGAGCAAAGAAGTTCAACAAGCCTTGAGAGAGCCTCAGAAGGACTACCAAAGAGCTCAACACGTGTAAATCGAGTTTTCTTAAGAACCCCTTTGCAACTCAGGAATGCTCCTTATGTAAGGGATGCGACATGTTGTAGTTCCCGTGATGGGTCTGCCACAAGCGTGCGATTCCTAGGCCAGTTCACGCCTTGTTTGCCCATTGACCTTTGCTGAACCCGAACGTGCTTCAACCTCCCCCCCCCTCCACCCCGCCCAAACCCCAAACCCTAGCCCCCCCTCCATCCCGATTCCCTACCCTAAACCCTCCCCCGATTCCGATTTAGTACGTTTCACCCCGTGCGTATAAGCTCCCAAATCCTAACCCCTCAACCTAACCTGGCGCCTGAGCCATGAGCCCTGACAACCCCAGAGGGCCCTAGCACAAAGTAGAATGCAGGGTTTCTGCATTAGGAGCTGTTATGATGATTTGGGTCCTAAACCTTAAGCCCTAAACCCAGGAAGAGAGAGTGTCGAATCCGAGACACGGAGTTGATACTGTTTGTATCTGCTGTGCAAGCGCCACAGTTCTGAACGTACCTTGCAGTGCGGGCTTGTCCTTGTTTAGCAGGGGGGAAAACCCTAAACCTTAAACCCTAAACCTTAAACCTTAAACCCTAAACCTTAAATCCTAAATCCTAAGCCCTAAACCCTAAACCCTAAACCCTAAACCCTAAACCCTAAACCCTAAACCCTAAGCCCATACCAGGACTTGGGACCCTTTCGGTCCCCCCAGTCTTTTCCCAGACCGCCAGGGAGCACCCCACGAGCCTCTGGAGATTGCCAAAACCAAGAGGGCAAATATATACATATTCTGTATATATATATATGTATACATACATATCTATTTATGAATAAGTGTACAGTTATAAACGCATATATATATATATATAGTTAAACAAGCTACGTATATATGTATATATATATATATATATGCACATGTATACAGAATACAATTGTGGAATGAGGTCCCCAAGACAGTAGCAGCCCCAGCAAGCATGGTCTTGTGTGAGAAGATGCAAGCCCCCATGATGTGTAGACACCTTACAAGCGCGTTGGGTTCCCTCTGTGTAGTATCTTTATTCGCCGAACTTCCAAAGCCCTTGCTTGGATCTTGCGCAAGGAGCCCATTCTGTTGAAAGCAACCGCCAGACTAGCACTGCGGGAAGATCTTTCAACTCACACCAACTGGGTAGCTTGATCTCAAAAAGACACGGGAAAGGTACTCAGAAAGATAGCATTCTACAATGGTTTCAAAACAGTTCTTGAAGTGCTTTGGGAGGGTTTCGTTATGGCTACCCTTCCGGGTGGCAGGTTTCGAGGGTTAGGGTTCAGGCACTTTCAGCTTGGAGCCTTCGCGGGGAAGTTCGTCACCGCCTTTGCCATCCAGGGGCAAAGGGTGTTCGGGCTTCACGGCAGGGTTTAGAGTTTCAGGGACTTGAAAGTGAACGACAAGGCTGGCGGTATTGGTGGCACTCAAGAATTAGTTAAGTGGCGCTTTCGATTCAAGCCCTCGAAACCCATCAACTTGATACGTAGCTGGGTGGGAAGCAACAAAAATACTTGATAGTTTCATCGTCCTTTCGGAGACCCAAATGTCTTCTACGCGCAGTCATGGAGGTCGAGCTACCTCTACTTAAGCCTGAAGCCTAAACCCCACGCTAGGTGCCTGTTATCATAGAATCTTCAGACACCCGCGCCCCGAAGAACCCCGACATTAAAAAGTAGATCCTAACGCTTAGGATGCCATGGGGCCAGGGATGTAAGACATCCGAAACCTAGACCCGAGAATATGGCAGTTTTTTTGGGATAACCTACTTCTTGTGGTTAGGATCCCAGAATATGAAACTTAGGTACCCCAACAATACGTACCAAATTACAGGGTCTAGGTAGTGCACGATACCCTTGCTAAGGCGATCGCCGTGATGCGATGGTCGCAACCGGGCTTGAACAGAATGCTTTCTTTCGAGTTTAGGGTTTAGGGTATGGGTAAATCTGTGCCAAAGGGGTTTTTACAAGGGTTGAGGTTACCATGGACCCGAAACAATGAACGAATGTCCTGACGGATTCGTCGACTCTGTACTGTGTAGGCTGAGCTCATTCTCCTGACTGCCTTGCGTGGTGATCAAGACATTGCACCCAAGCTGTCTGATGCAACAGGTACATATTACATATCATAGTAGAATGTAGCATTTATATATCAGGAACTATTACAATGGTTTGGGAAAGTATCCCCCCATAACAGTGCCCATTTTGATCCCTTAAAGGAACCCTTAAAGAAACCCTCTTGATCCCTTGAAGTATCCCCCATACCAGTACCTAGGACCCTTTAAGTAATTATTACCTAAACCCTAAACCCTTAAACCCTAAACCCTAAAATTAAGGCCCCTACATTGGAGCTTTCTGCCTCGAGCAGGTACACAAAGCTGGAGGAAGTGCAGGCCATGGAACCTCAAGAGACACGAAAGCGTTTAGGGGTATAGGGAGTTTGCGGTTTAAGGTTTAGGGTGTATGGTTTAGTGTTTAGGGTTCAAGGTGTACGGTTTAGTGTTTAGTGTTTAGAGTTTAGTTTAGGGTTTTCTGTGCGCACGAGTACGAGACTTTCTGTGGCTTGAGTTCGTGCTCCTGAAGCTTTGCTCGAGCAAGCATCGCCCCTGCGCTCAGCCCTTTGAAGCCAGCCCTCTAAACACATGATCGGCTTCGTGATGGCAATGGTGGTGGCTGCCTTGGCCGCTGCCACAAGCGCGTCTGAGGCAGATGCAGGCCTCCATGCGCCTGGAAACTGCACAGCGGACCACAACGCATTTCTGCAAGCTTCCATGCAGTCGACGCTTGTGGGATCCCCGGACAAAGCTGGGCTTGCCAAAGTTGGCCAAACCATACCGTGGCATGTGCTGAGGCGACACTGGCGACCGAAGCAGAGGCGCTACTACTCAAGGGCCACCACGGCCGCCGCCACTACCACCACTACCACCACTACCACCGCGACAACCGCCACAACCACCACCACTACCACAACCACCACAACCACCAGCACCACGACCACCACCACAACCACCACCACCACCACCATCACCACCACTACCAGTCCCCCCACATTGTCGGACGTCACCACGATTTTGAATTTGGAGGTTAACGAGTCCGATGCAGACGAGGTGCTCGAATCGCTGAGTAACGGGACGGGTCAAGCAGCATTCGAGGACTGGCTTGAGGGCTACCTCGGAGGTGATGTGGTGTCTTACACTGTGACATTTCCGAGCAGCTCCCCGTCCCTTGTGTCCAAACAGGCAAGCCGCACACAGCGCCAGCTTGCCCTCTCCGATCGGACCGAGTTCTTCAGCGTGGTGGCTCTCGCTATCCAAATCGACGCGGTTGTTACTAGCACCGGCTACGACGACTTCGTCTTCAAGTTCAAAGGCACGGACAGCGGCGAGCAGACCCTCGATATATTTGTGAACATATTGAAAACTTACTTTCCAGCTACTGCAACCCTCCTCATCGGCGCGCGTGCGAACTTGGAGGTGTGGAAGCTTGTATTTCGGCAAACCTTGCCCTATCGATGGCAGCGCGACATGTGGTCATTGAATGCCGATGATGCGAGTGCGGACAACTTTGCTATCCTCGATCAGCTTGAATCCTTCCGAATCAACGGCAAGTTCACATTCAGGTTGCGCTGGCCGACGATGGCCAACAACCAAGACCAGATCTGGAAGCAGACCTCCAATCCGGTTACGACCACAAATCGTGCAGCCACAGGCAAGGGTGTAGGGTGCAAAAGTCCAAGAGCTAAGTCAGTCTAAGGTATCAAAGTTGCGACCTTGCGCGGTTTACCCACAGACCTAAGCATTGAGCCGTGAGGCTATGAAGCGGTGTCAGTGCCATACACTGGCGTGGGTTGGGCTGGCCTGAGCCATGGTGATGGGGGCGCCATAATTGATGGCAGCTCCCCAAATGGATATTGGTGGTATGCCGTCGGTACCTTTAACTTATCTGGAGGAAAATATCCAGGACTGCATCGCGAACCTGAGCCTAAGTGAACCCTGTCTAAAGTCACCTAAATCCTAAACCTATCCAAACTCCACCCACAAGCCCGTGACCGTAACCCCTGCATGTCCAGGACCGAACCACATTACAGTAGACAAGGTGGAACTTTGGGTGCAAACCGTCTCTAGCGAGGCCTGGGCAGATCTTAAGTTGAGCTCTGGCTTGCCCTCAACACCTCGCGCCGGGCCAACCATGGGCCATATCCCTAGCACAGGATCCATCCTGGTGTACGGAGGGGAGACGGTCGGAGGAGCTCGTTTGGGTGATGTGTGGCGGTTTGAGCCAGGGCGAGCAGTGGACGCAACTTCTCGACGGGAATGGGGGTGCAGGCAAGCGAAAGGGACATGCTTGGACATGGCACCGGCACCTTGCAGCCTTTGTGGTCTTAGGAGGGGAGAGAGACAACCCCACACAATTCCAGTATGTGGATTGTCCCGACCCTCGATGTTGGGCCGAATCGCTCCAAATGTGGAAGTTGGAAGGTCATGGGACGTCTTGGCGGCCAAGCAATTACCCAAGTAGCCCATCAGGCCTCCCCTCCTTTGCAGATGTGCCACCACTCCATGCCCAGCACCTCACGGTAGTGGAGATTGAGGTCGACAATTTTGCGGGCAATGTGCCGGCTGATGGAGAGATGCTGGTTTATGGTGGCTTTCCATTCAGTCAGTGGTTGTACGGGCTAACGTGGACTGGCTGGTGGCGACGGCTCAGGCCCATGTGGGACGTCGAAAGACGCTATGGCCATTCGGCTGTGTTTGCCAAGGAGCTGGAGGCGATGGTCGTCTTCGGTGGCATGGGGGAATCCGGGCGTATCCTCAACGATCTGTGGGTTTACCGTCCCAGAGGAAACTCGGTCCTCGTGCTCAATCCTGATCTTCCTGATGGGCCTCCTCCAGCCATGGTGTACCACAAGGCCGTCTGGACTGGGCGAGAGATGATTGTTACTGCACCAAACATCACAACGACATGGGTCTGGAGTGACATGGGTGACAGTCTCAGTAATGCGAATGGGGGCGTGTGGCGAGCCTTCCCGAATGGTCCATCCGGGCCGGGAGGAGGGCAAGCTTCAGGACCCACGGCTGCAGCATGGGACCCTGATGCACAGAAGATGTTTGTTGGCTTCCGGGACCGCGAAGCGGTCCCTGAGTTCTGGTCTTTCGACTTTTCGCAGGCCTAGCACAAGTCTTTGTCTCAACCCGAAAGACTCCAAATAGCCTAGCTAAACTAGGCTCTATTTACAGATGTTAGAGCCCAAAGTAGGTCTTATTTGCATACTTGGAGTTTTAGGAATCCAGAGGGATGAGTTTATCCGGGTTAGTTCGCGAAGTTTGAAGCAGCGTGCGTCACGGAGTGTTGCGCGCTTGAGCCATAGCCACGTTGGGGCCTGGAACGCACATGAAGATCTTGCAGCATCCAGATGTTGGTTCAGAGTTGACAGGGCTTGGGTTTTAGTGTGCAAATAGGCCCTTGTAGGCAATGGCAGCCATCTTGGTAGTCTACCTGAAATTCGTGTGCCCTCTGTGAAACCCAGGCACGCGCCTTCTTGTCAGGCCAGTTTCTGGTCGACTCGCAGGGATGCTGGGTGACGCCGCGATTTTGCTTTGGAGCTGCCAAAAAGAATATGCCACACCGAACGCTTCAGGACCAATATGCTGCTGGAGCGCGGGTGTCTGTAGGCAAACCGCTGAACGGCAGCGAGCGGGCTGTGCGCACGGATGCGCACGGTTCTGTGTAACGCGGCTAGAGTTTAGTTTAGGGTGTAGGGTTTAGGGGTTATGGGGTTTAAGGAAGCATCGGACACACACAACGGTTGATACAGCACCAGCGAGATGCGAGCGATTTCACGGGTCTGGCTATACAATTTTCGACAGGGGATTCTGGTCCCTGGGGTTTAGGGCTTGATTTTCAAAAAACCTTTTCTTCCATCTAATAAGCCTCAACATGCTGCGCTGCTATTCCCTCTTGTGTCACCAAGCAATCATGGTCGACCGTGTGTCAGCTTGAGTTTAGTTGTATCAGTGTGTTTAACGTGCCAACTTGGGTTTAGTTGTATACGGTCCAGAGTTTGAGGGCACGGCTGTAGATGGAGGCATCACCTAGCTGGCCCGCCTGATTGTTGGACAGGCAGTCTTGGGTTCAGGGTTTATAGGGGGTTTAGAGGTTTAGGGTGTATAGGGGGTTTATAGGGTTAGGAGGGCTTTTAGGGTTAGCAGGGTTTGCAGGCGAGCACAAGCATCATGTGAAGCTTCATTTCACGACTTAACCGGCTCTTTCTTCGCTTGCTGCCGCCAGGCTCTCAGTTCTATTAGAGAGTAGGAACCGATGGAAGCAGGCCTACCGGTCTTGGGGTTGTGATCGGCGAATCGCAGCCATGTTACAAGACGGAGGCATTGCTCGCATTTTGATCACCAAGACCTTCTTCGAGGCCCCCTGTGTGTTTGTGTGTGTGTGTGTCATGAACGTTAAACCATGAATGCCTTGCCTATAGTCTCCATTGTAGTTCCTTTTGGGGCATACCGTATAAATTCCTTAATATATAATTGGTTAAAACAAAAAGGAACTACAATGGAGACTGCAGGAAAGCCCTAAACTCTAAACCCCAACAGCCTAAACCCCGTAGCCACGGCCGAAAGCCCTCATACCCTAACCCTCAACCCCAAGCTCAGCAATCCGAACCCCACAAGACAGCCTCATACCAACCTTTAAGTTGTTTACACGGTTTAGGGTTTAGGGTTTAGGGTTTAGGGTTTAGGGCTGTTTTGGGTTCTTATAACTTAGTAGTAATATGAAAGCTTAACCTTTCATTTCCGTGGCTTATTGGGGCAGTAAGCAGTAAATATAAGGGCCAAAACAATTACCCAACTGTGTTGGGAGTTCCTTATTATTATCATAGTACAATACACCCCAAAACCCGATTCTAAATCCCTGTAGGGACCCTTTATAAGTAAGTTCTAAACCCCAAACCTTAAACCCCAACGTCAAACCCAACCCTAGGAACCCAAACCCTAAAACCGTGGGACCCTTTATAGGAACCCCATGCCCAGGTTGCGCCCTTGACAGCCAAAGTGAAGCGTTCGCAGTCGTGGCCGCGAGATCCCGAGAGGCCGAAAGCCCTGAACCCTGAGCCATAAAACCCTCTAAGCCCCTTTGGGGTTTAGGGGCTTAGGGTCCCTAAACCCTAAACCCTAAGCCCCTTTAGGGTTTAGGGGTTTAGGGTTGAAGGTGACTGAGGAAGGCTCTGCCCTCGAGCTTCGCTGCCGGCATACCCTGCAAGTCCGAGCTTAAAAAAGGGGTTTAGGAACCCCAAACCCTGAACCTAAACCCTCAGCTCCCCAGCTCTAAACCCCTCTACCCCCCCGAACCCCAAACCCAAAACCCTAAACCCTACACTCTCCTTCTTGAGCCCTAAGCTAAACCCCCAGGTCTCCCGGTGAGCCCTTTTTTCCCCTTTTTTCAAGTCGGAGGTTCCTGATAGTATAGAAGCTACACCCAAAGGCCCCATAGTAGTTCCTTTTTGGGATTGCCTTGTAGGGTTCTAAATATGAACCCCAAAAAGGAACTACTATGGGGCCTATGGGTAAATAACTACCAGTATTACTGCTAGAGTTCCTTATTATAAATATACTACAAAAGGAGCCCAAAGCCCTATTCCAATTATTAAGGCACCTGCATGAAATGTACCCAGCTGAGGGCACTGGGCATCCTAAGACCCCTAAGCCCTAAACCCTAAACCCTCAACCTTAAACCTTACATCCCTAAACCCAAACCCCTCCGACCAGAGATCCCGAGAGGCGTGAGGCGATCTATTCCGAGAGCTGGCCTCCCGACTTCCCAAGGGGGGTCCTTGAGGCCTAGGGTTTAGGGGAAAAGGGTCTTGGGTGTAGGGTTTGGGGTTTAGGGTCCTGGGTTGAGGGTTTAGGGTTTAGGGTCTTGGGTGTAGCGCTTAAGGTTTAGGGTGGCACGGGGGTTCAAGTGTGGGGTTTAGGCTAGGCTGGAGTTGGCAGACCTCAGGGTATAGCAAAGAGCCGATATATATATATATATATATATACTTCCGTTATGCAGTTGGCATCCCGACTTGCAAACAACAGATAGGGGGAAACCCTAAACCCCAAGGCCTAAGCCCTAAGGCCCTAAACCCTAAACCCTAAACCCTAAACCCTAAAGCCCTAAGCCCTAAGGCCCTAAACCATTTTGGAAGGACATGCTCAGGACCCAGGCCTTCACTGCAGGGTTTCGTCCATCACTAGGATTTAGTGTTTAGGGATTTAGGGTTTAGGGTTTAGGGTTTAGGGGTTTAGGGTTTAGGGTTTAGTGTTTAGGGTTTAGGGATTACTATTACAATTATGGCACATGAGGGTTTGATGTTTGTCCAGTTTATGGAAAAGGCTGGAAATGTGCTAACTTATGCTGGCATAATTATGATATCTGAACCCCTCAAAAGCCAATCGGCGTGGTCCTGTTGGCCTAATTCCGCCGCGCTGTGCATCATGTCTAGCATTTAGGTTTGCGAGATTTTCCGGGTTCAGGGTCTAGTGCCTGGGCTTTGCTTCAGGGGTGCTGTGCTCAAGCGTTCGAGGGTGCAAATTTAATTGCTTATTTCTGAAACGACCACAGTGCTCGCGGACACGAAACAGGCGGAAGGTGTCAACTTGTGCCCTTTCGTAAGGCTTCTGCTTGCCAAGGTCGTGGACCGGGTCGGAGGTTTCCGAGACGTGCAACAAGACTCCAAGCCCTCGTGGTCAGCAAGAAGTGGACGTGCACACGGAGTGGAATGACGTGCATGGACTGCCTGCCGACCATCCTGGGTGGGAGATTGCGTCTAAGCTCATGATCCGTAACCTGCCAGCCAGGTGCTCGTATGAAGAGCTCGAGAAGTTCGTCAGGGCTTCCACAAAAACCCCCTTCCAACTCTCAATGCCATTGAACCAAAGCGGAAGGAATCGGGGATATGCCTTCATCATCGTCTCGGACATCTCATCCCTTCGTGATTTGGTTCGTGCCTTGTGGGGCAAGCGTGTGCCAAGCAGGAACAGCATGCGCCCAATGATGCTGCAGCCAGGAAACTGGGATCAGATGTGTCGGCGATCGCGGGCGTGACTCAGCACTACAACATCGCCGGGACGTTCTGGCAGCATAAACCGCATACAACAGAGCCGCCACTGATCGTTGCGGATTGCCAATTAGTTCGTTGATCTCTGCATGCTCCAGAAGCTGGCTTTCTGGCTAGAGCCGCTGCATACGCCCTTTTAACGTATCACTTTCCAGGCACTGCCTGCTTAGCTTGTATATCCCTTGAGAGCCCAGTTAGTTATGTAGTCGCTTGCTGTACTTGACCTGACCTCTATAACAAACTTGAGTCCTCTTAGCACACATATATTCAGGATTTACTTATACGCAGATAGGTAGACAGATAATCGGTACTGCCCCGACTCTGTAACGGCACTCTAGCAGGTGGATAAGATATACTATTACTATAAGTAGCCCTAAATATATTCCCTTTTATATAGATTGTTACACTGTTACAGGGTAGACCCAAGAAAGAAAGACAGATAGATAAGCAGATAGAGAGATGGAAAGACAGACAGACAGATAGATAGATAGATAGACAGATAGACAGACAGACAGACAGATAGATAGATGGATAGATGGATAGATGGATAGAGAGATAGAGAGGGGTCACCGGGCTCCTAGGGTACGCTCTGCCTGAGAATAGCTGCACTGTCTCGGTCTTAACTCGACTCCAAGTGCAATGACGCAAGGAAAGTGCGGCAAGCAAGGGGCCGGGTTTAGGGTTTAGGGGCTGGGTTTAGGTTTAGGGTTTGGGATTAAGGAAGTAACCAAATCCCCATGAAGTTCCTGCAGATCTGCAAAACCCTCTGTCGAGATTGCCTTGCACATGTGCCCTGATAGCTCGACGCATTTAGATCTATGTCTCTCTATGTGTATAGATATCAGTGTGAGATACCAACGACCTTATACCTTTTGTCATCAGTGGATGGA